GTGTGTGTGTGTGTGTGTGTGTGTGTGTGTGTGTGTCAAGGGTTTGGGACTCAAAAGCTGAAGAAATGCACACGCATCACAATAAAACCACAAAGCTCGAATCTTATTGCGAGGCATTATGAGATGTCGAAACACTTGCATCAATCTCCCGGAGTCCCCGCAGGATGCTCTAAATATTTTTCCATGAGGCAGACAGTTATTTAAATCCCTTCAGACAGCCTCGAACTGGAAATATGGAGCTCTTTTCAAACATCCGACTCCACGCTGTGGCCTTGATTCAGCTCGTCTTGCTCAGAGTTGGAGTTTTTTCCCCCCGTTTCCGTTGAGATCGACAAGTTAAACTACAGCTAACCTACTTTTTGCGGCCTGCCGCCATGAAAGGTGAGCGATCATGTAGTTGTCTCTGTGTGTTTGTTCTGGCTGTTTGCAAAATGAACAGATTTTAAAAGGTCAAATGTGATKAAATGTTAAGGTAATGAGTTTTCAGGTTTATCTTTTAGTTCAATATTTGTATCAAATATTCCAGTGGCCATTTGCTCTGATTTATAACTGTATCAACTTGTTTTTAGTGTTTTTGTGTCGCAGTGGGCTGATCATGTGGGAGGAGTCACTGTCCATGGTTGATGATGTCACCAGTGTCACGGCTAGCTGTGACAGAACACTGTAGGACTCCTGAATGTTGTACTTGTTTCTCTGCTCTACACACCTGATTTGTATGAATGGGTGATTAACAGGCTTCTGCAGAATTAGAAGAAGGGATTTATTGAAAGAATCAGATGTGCTGGAGCAGAAAAATAAGTACAAAATGCTGGATAGTGGCACCTGAGGACCAGGATTGCCCAACCTTGAATTAAGGCATAGAAAGTGGTTAGGGTTGAATTGTTTACCAGTGAAAAATGAAGCTCTTATTTTATTTATTTATTTTTTGTTTCTCAAGTGTTATTGGTTTGTTAATTTATGGATGATCCCTAAGTGAACCAGGGTGTTTAAAAGGAGAGAGCTACCCGAATCAGAACCAGGTCAAATGCCATTAAGTCGCTGCTGAATCCAACCTTAATGCTAACTCCTAACCATCTGTCTTGAATATGTAAATAAAAACAAAGAATCCTGGCAAAAGTTCTTGTTTTCAGGTCTTTTTTTTACAATTAACTGGGATGTAACAAACCATGTCATGCGCAGGCTATTATACAGTGGTTTGCAAAAGTATTCATACCCCTTGAACTTTTCCATATTTTGTCACATTACAACCACAAACATAAATATATTTCACTGGA